TTCGCAAGGGTCTGCAAGAGAGCCACCAACCGGGACCCTGCAGCCCTCTCTTCCTGGACTCTCTCCTCATCTGCTGTTCCATCAAACAGAGAAGTGGTTCTGAGGCTCAGGGGAGTGTGATTAATTCTAGGGGACTCAGGGTGACAAAGAAGAAGACTTGGGTCATGGGCCTTGGTTTTGGTTTTGGGACCATATATAGACTCTGAGGATCTTGAGAGGCTGCGGGTGATCTCATGTGGGAAGTGAGTGTGGAAATCCTTCGAAAGGGTGTCTCAACAGCTCAGAGTTGGACCTGGCTGCTCAGCCTCTCTTGAGAACACGAGAGATTTTGCAAAGCCCTCGAGTGAACGCAAAGCAGCAAATCTTCGTGCACGTGGAGTTGTTGGTGCCTGCACTTCTAATGGCAAACCGGGAAAGAAACTGGATAAAAGGAGGCACTTTTTCATGCAGGGCATAGCTGAACTTTGTATATAATTTTTATTAAATTTTCTGTTTTACAATTTAAAACACTCATTTTTACATCCTTAAAATATCAGTGAGTTCTGCTCTTCTCTTTCCATGGTTCATTTTACATTTCAATAATCCCTGCATATTTTACAAAAGCTAGACCATTCAGTATTCCATTATTGCATCCATCAAAGCTTATCTACACCGTTGAATTTATCTTAATGCTGCCAGTCTTTTCAGCTGTACACAACTATTTCCCATATATTCCATAAACATTTTCCAATCTTCTCTAAATGTATGTTCTTTTTGTTCCCTTATTCTATATGTTACGTCTGCAAGCTGTGCGTATTCAGATACACTTCACATGCACGCAAAAGCTCATACCAATAGCAAACTTAGTTGGCCTCTAAGGTGCTACTGGAAGGAATTTTTAAATTTTGTTTCCTCTCCTCCATGAATTTGTCCAAATCTCTTTTCTCCAGGCAGAACATGAAGTGCAGAGTGGATGCAGAGAAATAGGTGCTTAAAAGGCACTAGATTAGATCACAGAAACTCTCCTAGGAATGCTAATAAGTGAAGTTTCTAAAAATCTGTCTTGGATGTCCCGACTGAAGGAAAGGAAGCGGAAATAAAACACCAGATGTTTCTTTACAATACACGCATTCATGGACTGATTGATTTTCAGACGTTTCCGAATGTTGATGCAAAGACACCCCTGGCAGTATCTCTCTCAGGTGGCCCTTCCCTTCCCCTTGGGAATTCCCCCTTGACACACGAGGATCCTCACCCACGCTGTCTAGGCTGAGGACAGGGGAAGTCCATCTGGGGCCTCAGAGCCTGTTGCTACAAGCATCGCCATCAAAAACAGCTCTGTGAAGGCCAAGGAATGCTGCCTGGGCTCTCAGAGACGTGGGCTGGAGCCTCTGCGCTGCTGACAGAGAGACGCACCCTCTGGGAGACCACTGCCTTCTCTCAGCCAGAAGCAGGAGCGTCCAGATGTGCCATCCAAAGGTTCCCTTGCTGATTCCTGGGGACGAGTTTGCTCTTGGAAGTCACAGGGGAAAGTCGAGTCAGCTCCAGAGGTTTCCATAGATGATGATCACTATTATTTTAGTTATTAAATTTGTATACCACCCTTCATCCTCTCAGGATGGGTCACAACATAGATATATAAGATAAAAACACAAAATTCATAATAAAAACAAGAACAACACACACATACACGCACTCACAAACACATTTAAAAGGGTGAAGGATGTTAATCGGCCAGGGCTGCAAAGCCATAGGATCTGCAGATCTAGCCCCAAGAACGTAAAAATACGGAACGCTTTGTGAATTTGCGTGTCCTTCTCTGTATTGTTCCAGCTTCGGGATATGTGCTGCTGAAGCAGCATAGAATTGTAGAGTTGTAAAGGTATATAAAGGTCCTCTAGCCCAACCCCTGCAATGCAGGAATCACAGCAGCTGTTATTTATTTTATTTGCTTATCACATTTCTATCCCAGCTGGAGGTGGCTTACATGGTCCCCCCGCTCCTTATTTAATCCCCACAACAGCCCTGTGAGGTGGGTTAGGCCAAAAGAGGTCACCCCTCCCCCCCGTGAGCTCCAGGTCTCTCCCAGGTCCAATTCTGGCACTCCAACCACCAGACCAGGCTGGTTCTCTCTTTTGCCCTGCTCTGCCCCCCATGCTGGCCAGGGCTGGAGGACGCTGCAGGCCCAGCTGTCCGGAGGGCGTCAGGGGGAGGCTGGGCTAGGGGCTGCCTGCCCCCTGCCCCCCTGCCTGCATCTGCTGGTGTATTTGGTTTGTTCCCCATGTGCAGGATCAGCCCCGCTTCCCTCCCTCGGACACTCTGTCCTCCTGCTGCTCTTGCAGGTTTGTGCTGTGAAGCAACAGGCAGAGGGTTTCCTAGCACAGATCACCCCCCCCCCCGCTGCCACCGCCCGCAACAGACATGTGCGCAGGCCATGGCACCTTGTCCTCAGAGCTCAGCCCTCGGCTGAACCTCCCTGGAGCTCCCTGAGAACCTTTCCTGAAGGGACAGAGACACCACAAGCTGAGCAATAGTCTTCCATGCCACACACAGCACTTTTGGGTGGGCTGATTGGCGTAGGTGAAAATGGTGCTCTCTTGGCCAGAAAAACCCCCCCACCACAGACCCAGCCCAGTGCTGGACCCCCAAGTGCAATACTTCACCCTGGCACATTGGGTCCCACAGGGTGAGATGAGGTCTCCTCACATCACCCCTGCGAGGCGGCTCCGGCTGGTAGAGAAGAATGCTAGGAAAAGCTTTCTGAGAGCTGTTTGACAGTGGGACAGATGACCTGGGAAGGTGATGGACTCTCCTTCCTCGCAGGTTTTGGGTGGGAATCCTCCAGGGATTCTTGCATTGCAGGGGGTGGGCTAGAGGACCTTTGGGGTCCCTTCCAAACCAACAGTTCTGTGGTTCCATGAAAGGGAAGACCTGATGGGAGAGGAGTTCAGCTGCATGTCTCACCAGCTTTGCCCACGTATCGCAAACACCTTCCACTCCAGAGCATGCATTCCGTGGCATCGGTGGGGAGAGACTCTGAGCACGTGCAGAGTGCTGCTCTGTCACTATTCCTTATATACCTGTAGGGAGGAGGAGGGAAAGGGGGAGACTGTTCTTGCAACCAAGAGGAAGTGTGTCTCCTGGGCAGGCCTGACTCCTCATGATTTGTGAGGGTGGCTGGACTGTTTGTGGAGATGCCAGGATGGGGGGCGGGGGCTGCGTCTGCAGGGCCAGATCCGCAACTCAAAGGACCTACGGCACAGCCAGGAAGCCAGTCCTGTGTGGGTGCAAGAGAAGTTTCTATCCATGCATACTTCCGAGCACAATTCAAAGTGTTGGTGCTGACCTTGAAAGCCCTAAACGGCCTTGGTCCAGTATACCTGAAGGAAGGTCTCCACCTCTATCATTCTGCCCGGACACTGAGATCCAACTCCGAGGGCCTTCTGGCGGTTCCCTCACTGCGAGAAGCGAAGTTACAGGGAACCAGGCAGAGGGCCTTCTCGGTGGTGGCGCCCACCCTGTGGAACACCCTCCCACCAGATGTCAAAGAGAAGAACAATTACCAGACTTTTAGAAGACATCTGAAGGCAGCCCTGTTTAGGGAAGCTTTTAATGTTTAATAGGTTATTGTATTTTAGTGTTCTGTTGGAAGCCGCCCAGAGTGGCTGGGGAAACCCAGCCAGATGGGCGGGGTATATTATTATTATTATTATTATTATTATTATTGGCACCTAGCCAGGATGGCTCTGCTCTGCCTTCACACCTGAGGCAGCAAGTTGCTGGAAACCCCAGGAGGGGAGAGTTGTTCTTACGTTCGTGTTCTTATGTTCTTGAGCCAGGATTCCCGAAGGTGGGCTACTTCTGTCATCACATCACCTATCATTATTACCCAGACAGTGGGATAATGTATTAGCTTCAATACCTAAGGTGCAATTAGATTTATTATTATTATTATTATTATTATTATTATTATTATTATTATCATCATCATTATTAATGCCTCTGCCTATTGATGCTGTGACATCTCAGGTGGTCCAGTATCTGCCGGTAGATCTGAAATTGCCCGTTATCTGAAGCCCAGGAGTAGAGAGAACACTGAACTGGATGGACGATGGGTCTGACTCCCTGCGAAGGGAAGCCCAGGGGCGTCTGAGGACAGCAGAGGCAGCCTTGCTGGAAATGACACCTGGACAGGGCAGCTCTCCTGGGGCCCCCCGGAGGCTGCCAGAAGGGTTGCAAGGAGCAGCATGGATTAGGTGCTGCGAGGCACCACCCCAGCCTGCCTGCCATTTCATGGACTGAAAAGAGGGGGGCTCCACCTTCCTGCTTGGAAGGGCAGGTGAGGACACCTCCACCCGCTTAAGTAAGGAATCCAGGAAGATGCTTCGCTCCATCTGGCTCAGAGCTGCCTGCACTGGCTGGCAGCAGTGGTTCTCCAGGGTTTAAGGTAGTGCTATGCCCCAGTCCTACCTGGGGGTGCTGCCAGGGATGGCATCTGGGGGCTTCTGCATTCAAAGCAGGGGCTCTACCACTGAACTATAGCCCTTCCTGTTAGGCCACTTATGGGGTGCCCCCCACATCTGATGTTGATTTATTTATTGTTATTAGTTGGCTTTTAGTCCAAGCCTTTGGGATGTGGTGGGAGGAAGGGCAGGATCCACTGGAGGCAAGGGGTTCAAGGACTCTTGAGCAGGGTGAGGGAGGGCACACAACCCCCCCTCCCAAATGATGGGCACCTTCCAGACATTTCCTCGCCCACCCCAGAAACCACATTGCTTTTCCTCAATGGATTTCACATTTCCTGTGGGCTTAGTAAACAAACTGTTGAGACACCCCAGGAAGTGGCACATTCCCTCCCCCCTCCCCCCCCCCCACCAAGGACCTGGCTTTGCATTTCCTCCTCTGCCCAGAAAAGAGTGAGTGACTCTTGGGGCAGAAGGTGACTCACCCCCTTCCTCTCTCTGCCTCCCCCCCCCAACATATTGCAGAATATAAATGGCCCAGGCAGAGCTCTCTGCTGCAGAAGTCGCCAGAGGCAGAGAACAGGGGCAGAGAGGCAGACAGAGAGAGAGTTCCTTGCCCAGCTGAGTCGCCATGGGGTCCTTCCTGGCTCCCTCTCTCTTTGGGCTCCTGACTTGGCTGTCCCTGCATTGCAGCTGCTGGGCTGCTCCCCTCCAGGACAAGGGCCCCCTGGTCATCTCCTTCCCTGGGGACGTGGTCAGGAACGCTTCGGACCGGGAGCTGGCATCTGTAAGTTCTTAGGCTTCCTGGGAGTGGGGTCTCCTAGCCTGAGTGTCTGGATCTCAGCTCTGGCTTGGGGCAATTAGGAATTCAGACAGGGCTGCAGTTGCTGGAAACTGCAGGAGAGGAGAATTCTGCTCTTGGGCTCAGATCCTGGGATGCTGGACTAGATGGTCTGATCAAACTGAGAGTGGGAGACTTCCGTTGGCAGAGCATCAGACTCTTAATCTCAGGGCTGTGGGTTTGAGCCCCACGCCGGGCATAAGATTCCTGCATTGCAGGGGGTTGGAATAGATGACCCTCAGGACCCCTTTCAACTCTGCAATTCTCTGATCCTTATGAGGCATTCTTGCCCCCCCCCCCCCAGCCAAGAGATAGACGGACTAGTCTTGGTGAGACCATGGGGCTGGTGGGATGCGGAGAAATGAGGCTCAGGATCAGTCTGGGTGCATCATGTGAGAATATGCTGGGGAAAGGAGATGAGGAGGGCAGACTGGATCCGTGTGTGTGTGTATAAATCCCTGGTAAAGGCAAAGGGACCCCTGACCATTAGGTCCAATCGTAGGCAACTCTGGGGTTGCGGTGCTCATCTCGCTTTATTGGCCGAGGGAGCCGGCGTAAAGCTTCTGGGTCATGTGGCCAGCAGGACTAAGTCGCTTCTGGTGATCCAGAGCAGCGCACAGAAACGCCGTTTACCTTCCCGCCAGAGCGGTACCTATTGATCTACTTGCACTTTGACGTGCTTTCGAACTGCTAGGTGGGCAGGAGCAGGGACCGAGCAACGGGAGCTCACCCCGTTGCGGGGATTCGAACCGCCGACCTTCTGATCGGCAAGCCCTAGGCTCAGTGGTTTAACCCACAGCGCCACCCTCATTCCTTAAATCCCTGGTAGTTTTAAGCAAACTTGCCTTTCATGCAACTGGGCATCTGCACCCAGTTCCTCTTTCTTTATCAGTAATGGGGTTTCTGAGTCACCTGCCAGTGGCTCACCAGCTGGAGTTTTTAGGGGTTCCAGAGGACAGCTTGCTTCAGAGTAAATGTGAAGGTAGCTCTGACTCCTGCATTGCAGGGGGTTGGGCTGGATGACCCACGGGTTCTCTTCCAGTGTGGTGGTGGTGTGGAGAGCCAGTGTGGTGTAGTGGTTAAGAGCGGTAGTCTCGTAATCTGGTGAACCGGGTTCGATTCCCCGCTCCTCCACCTGCAGCTGCTGGGTGACCTTGGGCCAGTCACACTTCTCTGAAGTCTCTCAGCCCCACTCACCTCACAGAGTGTTTGTTGTGGGGGAGGAAGGGAAAGGAGATTGTGAGCTGCTTTGAGACTCCTGAAGGGGAGTGGAAGGCGGGATATCAAGTCAGTGAGCAACCTAGGCAAGGGAGGCAGGGCAGATGATCCTTGAACACCCTCCCCACTGCTCCCAGCAAAGGCAGCTCCTTCTTACTGGGAGGGTCTCCTTCACACACAAATGCACCCCTGCAGGCAGGCGAGGGATCCCAGCGGGGCAGCCGACTTGCTGCAGCGGAAACAACGAAGGGCGTTGTGGGACCTAGAAGGCAAACAGATATGGCGTGGCAGAAGAAACTTTTCCTGGGCCACAGCCCACTTTGAATCACCCTCAAGATGCCCGAAGGGCTATCCTTACAAGATATGCAAGTGTGTGTCTGGGGAGAGAGCAGTTTTAATTTTCAATGTCCAGACTAGGACAGAGGCATCGTGAGCCCCCTTGCAGACTGCTATGGAAAATGTTTTCAATAAATTGCCATTAACTAGGACAAATCTTGATGCTGGTCGCAAGCCTGTTCCTTGAGTGACCCATTCACAAGCTCAGCAGCAGCAGCAGCAGCCTCTTCCCTCACTAAGGAGGCGGGGAGCATTTTTCTAGGGATGCTCTGTCCATTGAGCATCTCCACACAGCCTGCTAGAAGTGGATGAGTTCAATATAAACGGATACAGAGTAGCTGTGATTCCTGCATTGCAGGGGGTTGGACTAGATGAGCCCTGGAGGCCCCTCCCAAGCCTACGATTCTGTGATTCTAAGAAGTGGCCCCAGACTCTCGGCTGCTTTTGCGTGTGTGCCTCCTTCTCTCTCTCTCTCTGCTCCGAGACAATCTCAGCTCACAGCTCTTTCCTTCCTTCTCCCCCAGCGCTACCTCCAACGCTTCGGGTACCTGCAAGACCCCAACTCGGGCTCCAGCGGCGGCCAGGTCACCCTGGACTCTGCCCTCAAGAAGATGCAGAAGCGCCTGGGCCTGCCGGAGACGGGGCGGCTGGACGCCCCGACCATGGAAGCCATCCGGGCTCCTCGCTGCGGGGTGCCCGATCTGGGCACCTTCCAGACTTTCCAGGGAAACCTCAAGTGGGACCACAATGACATCACCTACCGGTGAGTCCCGGAGGGGACCGCTCCCCCCCCCCCGGTCGTTTTCTCAGCACAGAAGGAGAGCGGAGGCAGCAGCAGGCTGGTCTCTGGCGAGGGCAGTTGCGCCTCTGCGCAAATCTGAGCCCGAACTCAGCGTTCGCCTCGTCTCTGGAAGAGCTCAGCCTGCGCAAGAAAGGGACGGGGGCCGCCCTCGTTCCCCGGTTCCCAAAGTGGGCGGTGCCACCGGGGCGGGATTCCCCAGGGGGTCCCTAAGAGGCAAGGGGGCGACAGGGGGGCGCTGGAGGTGCAAATGTCGATCCGACTTCGAGAAGCTGACCTAGCAGTCAACTCCTAGGGGCCGAGGTCCCTTCGGCCCCCCAATAAAATATTAGCCATTCCTAGGGTGTGCATGCGCCGCGTCTTGTGCTTGGTTATGTGGGGCGGGGCTTACTCCCCCCCCCCCCAATATTTTATTCCACTTGGCACCCTTGGAAACTGGTATCGCTGGATTAAGTTCATCAGCAGTGGAGCTCAAAAGTTTTAACTGGTTTTGGACAAATGTTTAGAACATTTTGAACCAACGTGCAATTAAATGCCACCGTTTTGAATCTGGTTGTGTTATTTGTTTATCGATTAAATTTATAAACCGCCCTTCCTCCGAAGATCACAGGGCGGTTGACAGTATAAAATCACAAGATACACAACATAATAAAACAAACAAAACAACACACACACACACACACACACACACACACACACACACACCCCCTTCGTGCTATTCTGAAAATAGGGTAGGGGGCGCTGGGGAGGAGTTTATGGAAGAGGGCGGGAGTTTGGGAGCCGCTGCCCTAGACGGCACCCCCAGCCCTCCTGCGATGCCGTGGCTCCCCCTTGGCGGCCGTGGGTCCTGACTTTGCTCTGCCTTCCCCAGGGTGCAGAACTACTCGCCGGACCTGGACGCCTCCATCATCGAAGACGCCTTTGCGAGGGCCTTCAAGGTGTGGAGCGACGTGACCCCCCTCACCTTCACGCGCCGGGACAGCGGGGACGTCGACATCCTCATTATGTTCGGGACGGAAGGTGAGCCTCGGCCTTGTCCCCCTGGGGAGGGGAAGGGGGGGCAGGGAGCAGCCAAGGACACCAGTTCCCCATAGGGCGGTGCCTGCGGTGGGAACCCCAGAAGCTGCCTCCCCAGGGGCGCCTCTTGGAGCCCTTGCTTGGCCTCAGCCTCGGACCTCCCCTCATGGATTTGCCTGTCTCCCCCCCCCCCCAGACCACGGGGACGGCTATCCCTTCGACGGAAAGGACGGTCTCCTTGCCCACGCCTTCCCTCCCGGCAAGGACCGCTACAGTGGGGATGCCCACTTTGACGACGACGAGTTCTGGACCCTGGGCACGGGCGTTGGTGAGTGGGCCGCTGCTTTCCCCTCGTCCCCACATAGAATTGTTGGGCTGGAAGGGGACCCCCGGGGTCATCTAGACCAACCCCCTGCAGTGCAGGAGTCCAGTCAAAGGATCCCTGACCAATGGCCATTGGATGCCTGCTTAAACGCCCTTGCGGCTGTCCCCTCCGGGCTATTCATTTCAAGCCATTTATTAAACCTGTATACCACCTTTCATCAGGGATGAGGGTGGCGCTGTGGTCTAAACCACAGAGCCTAGGACTTGCCAATCAGAAGGTCGGTGGTTCGAATCCCTGCAACAGGGTGAGCTCCCGTTGCTCAGTCCCTGGAGTTTCCATGCGCTGCTCTGGTTCACCAGAAGCGGCTTAGTCATGCTGGCCACATGACCCGGAAGCTGTACGCCAGCTCCCTCGGCCAGTAAAGTGAAATGAGCGCCACAACCCCAGAGTCGGCCACGACTGGACCTAATGGTCAGGGGTCCCTTTACCTTTACCTTACCCCCTTTCATCATGGAATCACAGAATTGAGTGGGAAGGGGCCACAAGGGTCCTCTGCTCCAACCCCCTGCAATGCAGGTATCTTTTGCCTAACGCAGGACTCGAACCCACAACTTTGAGATTGCATAAAACAAATTCATGAATTTCTATACTGTACAAGATAATAACCAATATATGAATGCAGTGGGGGTTTGTACATGCTGTTATATCTCTGGGTGACTTGCCCTGTCCTGACCCGCTTCTTCCCTCTCCTGAGCAGTGGTGAAGACCCGTTTTGGGAATGCCAACGGCGCCAACTGCCACTTCCCCTTCACCTTTGAGGGCAAGTCCTACTCCACCTGCACCACCGAGGGGCGCGAGGACAACTTGCCCTGGTGCTCCACCACCGCCAACTTTGACCAGGACAAGAAGTACGGATTCTGCCCCAGTGAATGTGAGTGGCCAGGGAAAGGAGGGGGGCTGGGGGGGCTGGAGGCCCCCAAGTGCGGATCTACTAGGAAGCGAATGAAGCTCCGGGGCCCCTAATCCCAGAGGGGCCCCAGGAGAGACTTCACTCCATGTTGCTTGAAAAATTGTGGGTGTAGTAGACCCAATTTGAGTCTCTCAGGTCAATTTGATTAATTTTTTGTGTGGCATCTATTTCAACAATCCCAATGCTTATGAGTCAGTAGCACAGAGGCTGTGAAAGTTGTAAACAATTCCATTGAAGAAGGTGGTTCTCTTTTTATGTATATATATATTTGCTTTATTGATTCCAAAAAGAAAACAAACAGTCAATATTTTTTTAACACATTACAAAAAGATATAATAGTTTCCTAATACGTATCTTCTATGGCGACTTCCCATCGCCCCAGGATGGGTCTTTAGTATTTTCGGTTTGCCACACTTATCTTTATCAATGATAATACGTCTTAGTTCTCTTAAGTTTCTACGATTCCCTACTTTCCCACAGAAGTCACTCCAGGCCTGCCAACAAGTTCAGATTTTTGCAGCGCTCCCTGAGATACTTTCTATACATGTCCCATTCCCTCATAAATGTTTGTTCAGTCCGATCCCTTCATTTCCCCGTCATCCTTGCGAATTCTGCAAACTCTTAACGGTTTCGACTGCCGCTCCAGTTTAGTCGGGGTTACATCTCCTTTCCGGTTCCTAGCTATGAGAATTCTTGCTCTGCAGACCTGGTTGCTGCTTGCAAAGGCCCCCCCTCGTAACAGTCCAGCTTTCAGGGCCCCCCAAATGTGAGTCTGCCCCTCCTCCTCCTGCCTGGCCGGCTCAAGACGCTCCTTTCTCCCTGGCTCGCCTAGTGCTCTTCACCTACGGAGGCAACGCAGACGGAGAGAAGTGTGTCTTCCCCTTCACCTTCCTGGGCAAGACCTACGACAGCTGCACCACCGAGGGGCGCAGTGATGGGTACCGCTGGTGCGCCACCACAGAGAGCTTCGACCGTGACAAGAAGTACGGATTCTGCCCCAACAGAGGTACAGGCAGTTTCATTTCCAGAAGGGTGCTGGGGCCTGGATCTGTCCAGTATATACCTGTCACTAGTCCCTAAGGGCAGGGGGGCTCACTGGTTAGGGAAAGGCACTCTGGATGTGCTCAGAGGCACTCTTTCTTGCAGAGCTGAGCCAGAGAATCACAGAAGTGTAGAGTTGAATGAGACACCCTAGGCCCATCTAGTCCAGCCCCTTGCAAGGCAGAAATCGCAGCTAAAGAATAATAAGACTCATAGGGTTGTGGAAGAGACCCAGAGGGTCAACTAGTCCACCCCCCTGGAATGCAAGAATCACGGCTAAATTGTGCCATTTATTCATTCATTATTGTTTATTAAATTTCTATACTGCCCTTCATCCGAATATCACAAGGCAGTTTACAATATAAAAAAGGGGAAATGGCTAACATTGTAACAAACAGAAACAAGAAAACACACACACACACACACACACACACACACACACACCAGTTGAACTAGGTTGTTTAATTAGCCAAGGGCCTGGAAGAAGAGGAATGTTTTTGCAGCAATTGCAGCTAAAGAGCCACAGGCTCATATAGGTGGTCATTTTGTCGAAGGCAGAAATCACAGCCTTGGCCCTGATGGGTCCTGGAGCTGCTGGGCCCATATCCCAGCAGGCCATGCTGGTCACACTGAACTCCAATAATAATAATAATAATAATAATAATAATAATAATTTTATTATTTATACCCAGCCCATCTGGCTGGGTTTCCCCAGCCCCTCTGGGTGTGGGGCTGGCAAAATGGCTTGAACCCGGATCCAGCTGCCCTCAGGGCAGAGCTGTGTGGCTGCCTACAGGTCCCTTCCTGCCATAGGGAAGGAAGGCAACCATGTCAGACAGAGAAGGGTACCTCCCTGCCCCCCTGCGATGCCCCACTGCCCTCTTGCCATGAGCGACTGGTGCGCTGCTCCCGGGCGGGTGGGTGCTGTGTGGGAAGCCCCACGGGAGTTGGGTGGGGAGAAGGGATCCCTGCTGGGCAGAACGCTCACCGGCCGCCTCTCTGCAGACACAGCCGTGATTGGCGGGAACTCCCAGGGCGAGCCCTGTGCCTTCCCCTTCACCTTCCTGGGCAAGAGCTACAGCAGCTGCACCTCCGAGGGGCGCGAGGACGGGCGACTCTGGTGCGCCACCACCAGCAACTACGACACCGACAGGAAGTGGGGCCTCTGCCCTGACAAAGGTACCCCTGAGCCTCTGCCGCATGAGCCAGCCTGGAGAGAGCCCTAACACCAGAGGAGGCTAATGTTCTCAGGTGGCTCCACCAGATGCCTGTGGGAGGCTGCGGGTGGTTCTGATGGGGGGGGGGGTCATGGGACCTGCTCCTCCTCCTCCTCCTGGTGGGGGCAGGGAGGTGAGGAGGGAGAGCCGAGCCCTGCAACCTGCAGCCCCCACCCACAATCTCCTTCCTGCCTTCCAGGGTACAGCATCTTCCTGGTCGCCGCACACGAGTTTGGGCATTCGCTGGGCCTGGACCATTCCGACGTGCGGGAGGCCCTGATGTACCCCATGTACACCTACCTGGCTGATTTCCACCTGCACTCGGATGACGTGGCTGGGATCCAGTACCTCTATGGTGAGTGGGGTGCTGGGGCAGCTTTCGCTGGGGGTCCCCTGCTCAGCCAGCCAGAAGGGGGCCCAGAATGTAAAGAGGGAAAGCCTTCCTGTGCCCCATAGCTCCCCATTAGTAGCTCCTCTTTTTGGAGGTTGGGAGGAATGGTGGATAAATAAATAAAACATATAATAAGATATACAGTCATACCTCGGGTTACAGACGTTTCAGGTTGAATTTTTTCAGGTTACGGACCGCCGAAACCCAGAAGTACTGGAATGGGTTTCTTCTGTGTTTCGGGAGTCGTGCATTCGCAGAAGTGCTAAATCGCGCATGCGCAGAAGCGGGTTGCAAACGCTGTGGGTTGCGAACATGCATCCTGCACGGATCACGTTCGCGACCTGAGCGTCCACTGTATATAACAAATGTAGGGTTGCCATGTGTCCTCTTTTTCCAGGACACGCCCTCTTTTTCAGGGATAAAATTTGAGACAAATTGCATTTATTTGCTTTGAATGTCTGTTGTAGTGTCCTCTTCTTTGCTCTTCGGAATATGGCAACTCTAAATAATGCAATCAATAAACTATACAAGACCTGTCAGGGATGCCTGGGTGCCTGTTGTGGCCTGACCTTCCTCTGCCCATCACCCTGGCACCTGGGCTCTCGTGGTCTTTCTGATGGGTATACAGACCCTAGAAAATGCTTTGCCCTTCCCACTCCTAGGCAGAGGGTCAGGCGTGAAACCCACGGTGGGCACCCTCCCCACTACTCAAAGCCCCGAGGACCCTGACCAAACCACCGAGGAATACGACGATGACGGCTCCAGCACAGACGAGGATGTCACGGAGACCACCCCAGTCACAGAGGCCACCACGGTCGTGGAGACCACCTCCGCGGGCCGCGCAGGAGAGGCTTGCAAAATCCCTCAATTTGACGGGGTGAGCGAGATCAAGAAGGAACTGTACCTCTTCAAGGACGGGTGAGTGGCAGGAGGAGGGCAGTGTCCCGGGGAGGAGGGCGGTGGAGGGGCAGGAATGGGGCAAAGGGCTGTGTGAGCCCACAGAGGGGGACACATGGGCTTTGTGCCCCTCGGCACCTCTCCACACTCAGCCAGGTAGGGAGGAAGAGAGGGCTGTTCATGAGTTCCAGCTCTGATTGGCCACTGAAAGAAAGAAAAAAGAAAGAAAGAAGAGGGTGCTGGACCCTTTGGTCTGGCCCAGCAGGGCTCCTCCTCTGTTCTTAGGCTCTTATGACTAGGGCTGCCCCCCCCCCCCGGATCTCTTCTCTTGCCAACCCCACCTACCTGCCAGACCCTCGGAGTCCACCTGCCTCCTCTACACCTGGTCAACCCTGGTGGAGACTGGAGAGCCGGTCCTTCCTTCCTTCCTTCCTTCCTTCCTTCCTTCCTTCCTTCCTTCCCTCCCTCCCTCCCTGCTCCAGCCCCTGCTCACAGAGACCTTTCCCTCCTTCCCAGGCAATACTGGAAGAAGCCAGTGTCAGGCACGGGGGCCATTGCGGGCCCCCTCCGCATCCAGGACAGCTGGCCGGCCCTCCCAGATGTGATTGATGCTGCTATCCAGGACGCACAGACGAAGAAAACCTACTTCTTCTCTGGTGAGTGGCTTCCCCATTGTGGCTGCTCGTGGAAATGGGGCAAAAACGCAGGGCAAAGCAGATATTTTGGGGTGGGATATGAGTCCACACTAGCCGTAAATACCGGTCCTGAAAGACCTACATTAGCTCCCGATACATGTCTGAGCACAATTCCAAGTGTTGGTGCTGACCTTGAAAGCCCTAAACGGCCTCAAAGGGCCAGTATACCTGAAGGAGCGTCTCCACCCCCATCGTTCTGCCCGGACACTGAGGTCCAGCTCCAAGGGCCTTTTGTTGGTTCCCTCCCTGTGAGAAGTGAGGTTACAGGGAACCAGGCAGAGGGCCTTCTCGGTGGTGGCGCCCGCCCTGTGGAACACCCTCCCATCAGACTATCTGACTTTTAGAAGACATCTGAAGGCAGCTCTGTTTAGGGAAGCTTTTAATGTTTGATGTATTTATTGTGTTTTTAATATTCTATTGGGAGCTGCCCCAGAGTGGCTAGGGAAACCCAGCCAGATGGGCAGGGTATAAATAATAAAATAATAATAATAATAATAATAATAATAATAATAATTTTATTCTGCATAGCCCCATGCTCAGAAGCTGCCCACAACCCCTGTGGCTGCTTCAGAGAACTTGCTGAAGCCCACAAGGGACACCTCGAAAACTCTTGCTTGCTGGTGCCCACAGGGCAGAGTGCATGGGCCTCTTTTCACCTGACTGAAGATTCCTGCTAGCAGGACAAGTCTGAGGGCCACGTTGGATGGATTTAGATGACTGGGAGAGGATATTTTATCTAGAAATGACCCTTCCTCTTTCTCACCTTGTGTGAGAATGCAAATATCTATTTCAGCAGAGCTAATATCACCACCCATGCGCAGCTTATCTCTGGAAGCTATTAGGACAAGGTTGCACAATCTTCTAGAAAAATTATAATATCCAAGGATGCTTTAGGCAGACTCGGGTTATCTTCTCCCTTTTTATTTCCCCCTCTTAATAAAGAAATCACTTTCAGGCAAATAAGTAAACAATAAAAAGGTGAGGTTTACGCATATCGAGGCCTTGGCAGGATTCAGCAGATACAGTGACGAAAATCAGATTGGCAATAATCCTTAAACATTGTAAACACCCACAGTCCAGTTCAAAATGGAGATTGCTTTCTGGAGGAGAGCAAAGAAATGTCTTCATCGCAGGTCGGAAGAAGAGTGTGCAGTGACAGGAAGAAACAGAGATTAAGTCTCTCTCTCGTTCTCCTTCCTGCCACAGAGGAGATGGCCTCATACGCTCCCCTGCCTGGGACTCTCTAGCCAACCTGCCCTCTGTGACGGGGCTGCAGGTCCTCCCACAGATCCATGGGATGGACACTTGCCGGGGGGTGAACAAGGAAAGTTGCAAAAGCTGTTTCTCCTCCGCAGGTCGGCGCTTCTGGGTGTACCAGGGGGCGAGAGTCTTGGGACCGCGGAACATCGAGAAGCTGGGCATCCCGAGTGACGTGCCAAAGATTGTGGGGGCCCTGCAGGAGAAGCCGGGCAAAATCCTTATCTTCAGTGGGGAGCACTTCTGGAGGTACCAGGGATCCTGGGGGGCAGAGAAGGCAGGGGAGAGAAAGCAGAAGGGGGCACCTGGTCAGACCTCTGCTTGCAGGCCCCCCTCCTTCCCTGGTCACAGTGGGCCAGGATCAGAGAGCAGCAGGGGCTGGTGGAGAACATGGAATGGGAAGGTCCCCCAAAGGTCATCTAGTTCAGCCCCCTGCAGGAATCACAGCTCTTGACCTCAGAAAGTCCATCCTAATGTTTAGTGGGAATCTCCTTTCTTGCCATTTGAATCCATTTATGCAAGGTGAACCCTCTGGAGCAGGAGAAGACAAGCTTGCTCCCTCTTCCATCCGACAGCCCTTGGGCTATCTGAAGATGACTTCCCTATCAGCTCTCAGTCCTCTTCCTGGGGCTTAACCCCCCCAACTCCCCCCCCCACTGTTCCTCAGAAGGTCTCCAGACCCCTGATCATCAGAGAGAGGCCAGTTATTCTCCAGGACCACCAGTCCTGCAGTTTGACTTGGCCAAGGAGGAATCGCCCCTTCTCAGCTCTGACTTGATGGACACAACAGCTGGTTGCTTCTCTGCCAGGCCCAGAACATGGAGAAGGGGAAACTGCCTGCCCCTTAGCTGCCCCCATGGCATGAGCAGCCCCACCTGACAAGCGCTCCTCCACAACACCCTTCTCCCTGCCGCTGAATCAATCATCTCCAAAGCCAGCGACAAATAGGGACGGCTCATTTCTGGCCTCAACACGGGTCAACCTTGAGGCGTCAGGCGTCCTCCTGGCCCCCCGTGTTGTCAGGACTGAAAGGGCACCGTGCCCACCCCAGCACTGACCAGACCTGCGAAGAGGGCATGGGGGGAGGAGGAGGCCTGGGGTGGACCATGGGGAAAGCCTTCTTCAGTCTTGCTTTCCTCCTCCAGGCTGGATGTGAAATCTGAGCGAGCGGATAAGGGCTCTCCTCACTACACGGACAGCCTCTTTCCTGGGGTCCCACTGGACTCTGAGAATATCTTCCACTTTAAAGGTAAGGAGGGTGAAGAGGGACAGGGGTGGGCTTAGAATGCATGTGACCGGGGGGGGGGAGAGCACTGCCAGGAGGGGATTCAAGACTAATCCACCACCCCAATTCCCAGACTGTGCTCTGCGGAGCTTGTCTTGGTGTCCCTGCTCAGAGGCTGAGATGCTCTGTCTCTCTTGACCAGGGGTAGGCAGCCCAGTCGCCTTCTCAATTTGGCTTGCAGATGGTCTGGGAATCAGCATGTTTTTACATGAGGAGAATGTGTCCTTTTATTTAAAATGCATCTCTGGGTTATTTGGGGGGCATAGGAATTCGTTCATTTCCCCCCCCCAAAATATAGTCTGGCCCCCCACAAGGTCTGAGGGACGGTGGACTGGCCCATGGCTGAAAAAGGTTGCTGGTCCCTCTCTTGACCTTATGTAGACTCTGGCCTTAATGGCCTTGCAGGAGCTCCCTCTTCAGGTGGGGATGGGAATTGCTCCACTCACCTGAGCCCCTGCCCAGGGTTCAGCCTCTGTCTTCCCATCAACGCTCAGAGCAAACTTTTCTGCTCTAGGCCTAAAGAAGGTGAGCTGCTGGAGGCTCCTTGCTGGGATTTCTGTAGGCAGCTGTAATGGTTCTAGGGGTTGCTCGTGCGTAAGCCGGTGCAAACACCTGGCTGGGATGCCTGAGTGAACCTTTTCTGTCCGGACAGCCACTCACCCGTGGCTGTCTCAATCGCTGGCAGAATCCGTCAGTGGGCGTTTCTTAAACTTCTTCCAGCAAAGAAGCTCTTTGACGCCTAGTCTCCTCCTACTCTCTCTGCGCGAAAGCCTTCTGCGCAAGGAGGGCGTAGGCAGCGGAGGACCTCTACTCTCCCTGCTGGTCCCCGGCAAGGAGTCATGGGACCGCCTCGCCGCTTCCCCCATCTGCCCCCCTTCTCCACTGGTGCTACGCTAATTCTCTTCCCCAGAAGATGGGCTGCCTCTCCCAATCCCGGGACGCTCTCTGGAATCCCTCTGGATCTTGCTCTCTCCCTCCGGCACTGATGGCAGTTCCCTGACAGCAGCCATGGGGCAGGTGGGGGTGGCTGGACTGAACCAGAATCCTGGCACTGGGGGAGGGAGGGGGATGAAATTCATGCTCCCCGCCAGGTGTTATCTGTTCTGTGGTAGAAGGCATAGAGGTGCCCATAGCAAACATCTGTATGTTTGACCCTGAAAGGTAACTATCAGCTCTGGGGTGGGGGGTGCCATTAACAATGGGAGGAAAGGTAGGGGGAAGGGTAGAGCTCTCCCTCCAAGCGCTCTGTCCCCAGTGGGATGGTGCTGTGGTCTAAACCACTGAGCCTCTTGGGCTTGCCAATCGGAAGGTTGGCATTTCGAATCCGCATGACGGAGTGAGCTCCCGTTGCCCTGTCCCAGCTCCTGCCAACCTAGCAGTTCGAAAGCACACCAGTGCAAGTAGATAAACAGGTACCACTGCAGTGGGAAGGTAAACAGCGTTTCTGTGTGCTCTGGTTTCCGTCACGGTGTCCTGTTGTGCCAGAAGTGGTTTAGTCCTGCTGGCCACATGACCTGGAAAGCCTTCTGTGGACAAATGCCGGCTCCCTTGGCCTGAAAGCAAGATGAGCGCTGCAACCCCATAGTCGCCTTTGACTGTACTTAACCGTCCAGGGGCCCTTTACCTTTTTTACCTTTTACCCCAGTCAGATTCAGAGCTTCCCCTGGACCCCCTGCCTGTTTATTCATTTTTCATAAAATTTAAACTCCGTTTGATTGTAAAAGAAAGCTTTCTTAAAGCTGCAGATGTGAGACTGGATCTCCTGTCTCTTCCTCGGGATCCTCCCCTCCAGAGGCCCTTCCCAGCTGCCCCTCCTTGGGTAGCCTCGGGCATATTGCCTCCTTTGCCGGTGGTGACGTTGGCACCCTTTGATAACCATCCCCCCAATTTCCTTCCTGCTTCCAGGAAAATACCACTTCTGCCGGGGACCCTTCTGCTGGCGGATGACCCCACGCTACCAGGTGGACAGGGTGGGCTACCTGAAGTACGATGTCCTGAAATGCCCGGAAGAGTAAGCTTGCCAGAGGGCTGCTGGGACCCTCCTCTGCCTGCGGTGGGACTTTAGGGCAGTCGCTCACCAGCTCTGACGCTCCAGCCTGGACCTGGGAGGCTGTGCCCGGGTGATGCTGGCGCTCTGCTCGACTGCCGCCCAAAGAGGACTCTCCAGCCACCCTGTGCCACTCCTGGGGCACGCGGACCTCCTGCCAGCCTGAGCCAGGTGCCTTGCAAAAGTCTCGCCGGGTGCAGGCAGCCGGGCTGCTGGCACAGAGAGGGTCCCTGCCTGTTGCGTGTGTGTGTGTGTTGCTTGGTCATGGACTTGTGGCAAAGACCCCCCCTGGGGAAGAGAAGGAGGGTGCCTTCAACCCTCCCACTGCCTCTGCCGCCTCTGCCTCCTGTGGGACCTCCAGCATCTTGCACTTTCTGAATAAATGAAATCCTGCCCCACCTGGAGCCTCTTGTCTGCTTATGAAGTGGCACAGAGGGTTGGGGGGCTGGGAGGGGCTCCAAACACCTGGGAAGCAACACTAGCTCAGTGCTGCAAATGGCCCCCCTTTATTTACAACCCCCTGAAGAGCGTTTCCTATCAGAAGGAGGGCGAGTGCCCTGCTTGCTTGCTTGCCTCAGCTTCCAGTTCTGTGGGCTGGTAGCAAAGAGCTGCCTTCTGCTAGCTGACATGGTGTGTAAATAAATCATAGAAGCATAGAATGGGAGAGTTGAAAGGGACCCCGAGGGCTGTCTAATTCCAGCCCCCTGCAATGCAGGAATCTCAACTGAAGCATCCCTGACAGATGGCCATCCAACCTCTGCTTCAAAATCCCCAAGGAAGGAGAGTCTGCTCCCCTGTCGGACAGCTCTTGCTGTAAGAAAGTTCTTCCTGATACTTAGTCGGACTCTCTTTCCTTTCCTTTGAACCTGTCAGTTTGGGTCAGGAGAAAACCACCTTGCTCCCTCTTCCATGTGGCAACCCTTCAGATTTCTGGAAACGACAATCATGTCTCCTCTCTGTCTCCTCTTTTCCTTCTGAGCTTCTGCTTGGCCTCTGTGAGAACAGGACTAAAGGAGTCTTTGGCCGGATCCAGCAGCCCCCACCCTTTCCAGAATATATTGTATCGCTTTTTCACATATAATAAACATAATTTAAAATACAATAAGCAACAGCGGCAGCAGCCAGTCCATCATTTAGAGGGGGAAAGTGTAACCAGCTTAAAATTAGAACCATTACTTAGAACAAGTTTATGATGCCTATTAAAGCCTCTAATCCAATAAGTCTCTCCCGATGCTTCCGTGGGTCGGAGGCGGCTGTCTCAATTGATCGTCTCATCTCATCCAGGAGATGAATGGATGCCAGGCATTGTAAAAGGACGGATCGTTTAGAAACAGCGAGATGCTGGCATTCTGCAACTGATCTGTCCATAGGCTCAGGTGTGCTCTGTCGCTCTGACCAGCCGGAGCAAAGGCCAGTCCTTGATCCTGCAGAAAGCTCCTCTTCTTGTGTCCCTATGTTGGAAAACCCATCTCCACCGAGCAGGGGGCCTTTCCTGCAAAGGCAGCCGCCTCACCTCAATTTCTCACCTCTGAAACACACAACGCTTCACCCAACCATACAAAATCAAATGTAAGGTTTTTTGTGAGCAGTGGGGCAGTTACTAGGATGCAAAACAAAGCAGAGTAATTTATTTGTTTGTTTGTTTCATTAGGTAAAAGTTATACACCACTTGATCGCAAAACAAAAGCAAAACCTCAAAGAGGTTTACAAAAAAAATTAAGCAAGAAAAGCAAGAAAGATTTACAACAATAGCTTAGAACACAATAACAACAACTTTCTTATTTATACCCCGCCCATCAGGCTGGGTTTCCCCAGCCACTCTGGTTTACAGAAGATATAAAAACATCATAAAACATCAAGCGTTAAAAACCTCCCGATACAGGGCTGCCTTCAGATGTCTTCTAAAAGTTGTGTACGTAGTTCTTTATCTCCTTGACATCAGAAGGGATGGCATTCTGCAGGGAGGGCGCCACCACCGAGAAGGCCCTCTGCCTGGTTCCCTGCAACTTTGCTTCACACAGTGAGGGAACAAGCAGTAGACCCCCAGAGGAGGACCTCAATGTCCGGGCTGAGAGATAGGGGTGGAGACGCTCCTTCAGGTATACAAAATAGTATGAAAATAAAAAAAGTAGTAAAACAGGTTAAAGTTCACATCAGTTTTCTAAGCCTCTGGATAGGCTTGTCTAAACAAGAATGGTTTTAGCAGGCAGCAAAAAGAATACCTTGAAGGCAGCTGCTTAATATCAATAAGCAAGGAGTTCCAAAGTGTAGATGCTGCCGCACTAAACAATCAAGTTTTTACAAATGTGGAATGGGTGTTACCTGGCACCTGTAGCAGTGCCCATTCTGCTGGTTTTGTGAGCTGGAGGCGGCTTCCACAGGCTCCTGCCTCTGCCCCAACTAAGTGGGTGGTCTTTCAGGTGCCACAGGAAAGTTCGGCTGCCTGGTTGCTTTGTGACAACCGGCTGTCAAGGCAGCCCTGGGATCCTGTGTTGTGGTGATGCTCGCATAGCCTTTTTCAGCTCCTCTGGGCTCCCAGCAACAAAATCAAGAGAAGGCCACAAAGGCAAGGGGACACTTGGGGTGAGACACACACTTGGGGGGGGGGGTGAGTGTGCAAATCCCCTGTTGGAACAAATAATTCAGCCACTACAATGTTTTTTTCACCTTACAGTCGTACCTTGGAAGTCAAACGGAATCCGTTGGAATCTGTTCCAGAAGTCCGTTCGACTTCCAAAACGTTCAAAAACCAAAGCGTGGCTTCTAATTGGCTGCAGAAAGCTCCTGCAGCCAATCGGAAGCTGCGGAAGCCGCACCAGACATTCGGCTTCTGAAAATAGTTCGCAAACTGGGACAGTCACTTCCGGGTTTGCGGTGTTGGGGAGCCGAAACATTCTAGAACTAAGCTGTTTGACTTCCAAGGTACGACTGTACTTCTGCTCAATATTGAATAGCAACAATATTGAAACTATGCAAAACTATCTTGGCAAAATACAAAGACCATAAAAGAAGAATTAAAAGTACAATGAAACAGGGTCGGTTATTATTATTATTATTATTATTATTATTATTATTATTATACCGCCCTATACCCAGAGGTCTCAGGGAGGTTTTTAAAACAGCAGCAGCAGCAGCAACAACAGCAAAATAAGCGTTCAACATACTTGTTCTTGCCACCGAGTGCAGCTGAGCGCCAAATGCCTGGTCATATTTATTTTATTTTATTCAATTTCTGCCCTGCCTTTCCTCGTCCTAAAGAAGCCCAGGGCAGCAAACAACAGCTAGCAAAGCAAATCCACTCAAAATTAATAAAAGAACATTTAAGACATTCATAAAGATTAAGGGGGTCTAAAAATGTCCCAAAAGATTAAGAATGTCTAAAAACATTTCAAAACAAATAAATAGGATGGGATGTCATGGGGCGGGGGGGGGGGAGCTAATTTCCAGTGGGAGGGAGTCCCAGAGACAGCCTCTGAGGAGCCCAGAAGAAGCAGCGTGCCCCCTGCCCCACCTAGAATCATAGAATCATAGAATCATAGAATCATAGAGTTGGAAGAGACCACAAGGGCCATCGAGTCCAACCCCCTGCCAAGCAGGAAACACCATCAGAGCACTCCTGACATATGGCTGTCAAGCCTCTGCTTAAAGACCTCCAAAGAAGGAGACTCCACCACACTCCTTGGCAGCAAATTCCACTGTCGAACAGCTCTTACTGTCAGGAAGTTCTTCCTAATGTTTAGGTGGAATCTTCTTTCTTGTAGTTTGGATCCATTGCTCCGTGTCCGCTTCTCTGGAGCAGCAGAAAACAACCTTTCTCCCTCCTCTATGTGACATCCTTTTATATAGTTGAACATGGCTATCATATCACCCCTTAACCTCATCTTCTCCAGGCTAAACATGCCCAGCTCCCTAGCCGTTCCTCATAAGGCATCGTTTCCAGGCCTTTGACCATTTTGGTTGCCCTCCTCTGGACACGTTCCAGTTTGTCAGTGTCCTTCTTGAACTGTTGTGCCCAGAACTGGACACAGTACTCCAGGTGAGGTCTGACCAGAGCAGAATACAGTGGCACTATTACTTCCCTTGATCTAGATGCTATACTCCTATTGATGCAGCCCAGAATTGCATTGGCTTTTTAGCTGCCGCGTCACACTGTTGGCTCATGTCAAGTTTGTGGTCAACCAAGACTCTAGATCCTTTTCACATGTACTGCTCTCAAGCCAGGTGTCCCCATCTTGTATTTGTGCCTCTCATTTTTTTGCCCAAGTGCAATACTTTACATTTCTCCCTGTTAAAATTCATCTTGTTTGTTTTGGCCCAGTTCTCTAATCTGTCAAGGTCGTTTTGAAGTGTGATCCTGTCCTCTGGGGTGTTAGCCACCCTCCCAATTTGGTGTCATCTGCAAATTTGATCAGGATGCCCTTGAGTCCATCATCCAAGTCGTTGATAAAGATGTTGAATAAGACCGGGCCCAAGACAGAACCCTGTGGCACCCCACTAGTCACTCTTCTCCAGGATGAAGAGGAACCATTGATGAGCACCCTTTGGGTTCGGTCAGTCAGCCAGTTACAAATCCACTGAGTGGTAGCATAGTCAAGACCACATTTTACCAGCTTCTTTACAAGAATATCATGAGGCACCTTGTCAAATGCCTTGCTGAAATCAAGGTAGGCTACATCCACTGCGTTCCCTTCATCCACCAGGCTTGTAATTCTGTCAAAAAACGAGATCAGGTTAGTCTGACATGACTTATTTTGGTTTCGGTGCCACCCCCCCAAAGACCTCACCCACAACACCACAAGCAGGACCTCCCCAGCAATGTAGTGCTTAGAGCTGAGTCCTGGGAGACTAGGGTTCGAATCCTCCACTTGGCCATGAGGCTCAAGGGGTGAGACATTGGGGGCCAGTCATTGTCTTCATTCAGCAGAGCCTACCTCTCAGGGTTGTTGTGGAAACTGAAATAAAAAATTTAAGGCCATATATATATATATATATATATATATATATATATATTGTAATGTTCATAACTGCATATATAAACCGCATGTCTGAAACCCCACAGAAAAAGTCCTGAAACCATTTTGTCCCTCCCAAATTGACCTCAAATATTTCTCTGCAAGGTCGAAGGAAAATGGAAAAGCCTCCCCATTGTCTTTTCCTTCACAAATCCTGTCTTAAGGGTATGTCTGTGCTTGAATAGGGTGTGAGCCTGTGACCTGGCTCAGGAAATAAGTATTTGTCATTACAAAAGACTGGCCAGGCTCCCCAGGGTATCCAATCAAGTGAGCATTAACAGGTAACCTGCCAGACAGGAGATAAGCAACGCACTCAGATTTCTGTTGTAGACCGCCTTTTCTGTGATGTAGGTATGATGTTGGGGGGGGGGGGCTTGGGTTACACCCCTTATGTAATGTATGCATGATGCATGGAGGGGTGGTCTTGAGCTCCAG